TATGGAAGACCGTGGTCGTCCCACAATATGGAAGACCGTGGTCGTCCCACGATATGGAAGACCGTGGTCGTCCCACAATATGGAAGACCGTGGTCGTCTCACAATATGGGAGACCGTGGTCGTCCCACAATATGGGAGACCGTGGTCGTCCCACAATATGGAAGACCGTGGTCGTCCCACAATATGGAAGACCGTGGTCGTCCCACAATATGGAAGACCGTGGTCCTCCCACAACATGGAAGACCGTGGTCCTCCCTCAATATGGAAAGACCGTGGTCCTCCCACATATGGAAGACCGTGGTCCTCCCACAACATGGAAGACCGTGGTCCTCCCACAATATGGAAGACCGTGGTCCTCCCACAACATGGAAAACCGTGGTCCTCCCACAATATGGAAGACCGTGGTCCTTCCACAATATGGAAGACCGTGGTCCTCCCACAATATGGAAGACCGTGGTCCTCCCACAATATGGAAGACCGTGGTCCTCCCACAATATGGAAGACCGTGGTCCTCCCACAATATGGAAGACCGTGGTCCTCCCACAATATGGAAGACCGTGGTCCTCCCACAATATGGAAGACCGTGGTCCTCCCACAATATGGAAGACCGTGGTCCTCCCACAATATGGAAGACCGTGATCCTCCCACAATATGGAAGACCGTGGTCCTCCCACAATATGGAAGACCGTGGTCGTCCCACAATATGGAAGACCGTGGTCCTCCCACAATATGGAAGACCGTGGTCGTCCCACAATATGGAAGACCGTGGTCGTCCCACAATATGGAAGACCGTGGTCGTCCCACAATATGGAAGACCGTGGTCCTCCCACAATATGGAAGACCGTGGTCCTCCCACAATATGGAAGACCGTGGTCCTCCCACAATATGGAAGACCGTGATCCTCCCACAATATGGAAGACCGTGGTCGTCCCACAATATGGAAGACCGTGGTCCTCCCACAATATGGAAGACCGTGGTCCTCCCACAATATGGAAGACCGTGGTCGTCCCACAATATGGAAGACCGTGGTCGTCCCACAATATGGAAGACCGTGGTCCTCCCACAATATGGAAGACCGTGGTCCTCCCACAATATGGAATGACCGTGGTCCTCCCACAATATGGAAGACCGTGGTCGTCCCACAATATGGAAGACCGTGGTCGTCCCACAATATGGAAGACCGTGGTCGTCCCACAATATGGAAGACCGTGGTCCTCCCACAATATGGAAGACCGTGGTCCTCCCACAATATGGAAGACCGTGGTCCTCCCACAATATGGAAGACCGTGGTCGTCCCACAATATGGAAGACTGTGGTCGTCCCACAATAGTGAATGATCTAACTCTACAACTCCATTACCGTCATGGCAAACAAATATTGCCGGTCGTTCTTGCAGTACTTCATCAATCTTGTCGTCGCTTCGTCAGGTCGTTCTGACATCCTGGGTGTCCCACCACCACATCATAGCCGCCTCGCTGGATACATTACTTCTGTTACCATTAGTTTCTCACTCCATTTTGTCGACCATCTTTTTCTAATCAATATATATATATAACAATATTATATATATATATAATATTATATATATATATATATATATATATATATATATATATATATATATATATTATATATATATATATATATATTATATAATACTGTTTTGTCATGTCAAAACAAACACTATTTACGGAGTTTAAAATAGAAAAAACATCATATATGGTAAACGGAGTTTACCGTAAAACGTTCACTGTTAAACGTGAGTCAGTGTCTGAGGGGCACCGATGACTGCTCATACAGCGACACAAAAAATAAAAGCGATACAATGACATAGATGAATGTGACCGTTCAGAGGTTAGGTAAAGACGGTGGAATGTGGATGGTGTCTTATGTGACCCTGTGAGCCAGTGGGCATCTCAAGTCTCTCAGGTGACAAGCACTGCTTGTCCTCGCCCTCGTCCTCGCCCTCGTCCTCGCCATCACCCTCTCCAAAAAAAAAAAAAATTAAGGCCAATTTATAAAAATAAAATTTAAAATTCTCACAATTTCTTCCATTTTCTCTAAATTTCTATAGGTCCGCCGTCCACCTTTCTAAAATCCTGCCGTGGACCCCAGTTTGATCTCCACAGCTGAATAACCCTTACGGGTTTAGTGCAGTTATGGGTGGGTTCTTTAGTATTACAAATTATGAACTAATAAACCTGTGTGGGTCATTCAGCGCAGGGAGTGGTGGAGGCTCGATACTCTGGATAAACAGCCAGGATGACCCTGGGTGCCACATTTGCTCACCTTCCCTGATCGCTGCGCCAGAAAAAAAAAAATCCCAAGTGGCAATGGAACGTCTCTGCTTGCCCAACAGCGGATCAATAGCATCTCCCTAGTGTGTACTGATCCTGAAATCACCCACAACTCTACTGAAGCATCGCTGCTGTAACTGAAACCAGCTATGTTGCACGGTATCACAGAGAACACGATCTCTGTTGCACGGTATCACAGAGAACACGATCTCTGTTGCACGGTATCACAGAGAACACGATCTCTGTTGCACGGTATCACAGAGAACACGATCTCTGTTGCACGGTATCACAGAGAACACGATCTCTGTTGCACGGTATCACAGAGAACACGATCTCTGTTGCACGGTATCACAGAGAACACGATCTCTGTTGCACGGTATAAGAGGGAAAATCATGCTGCCCGGTATAATTTGAAAACGATCTAGTTACCCCGTGATCACCGTGATCACCGTGATCACCGTGAACACAGTGATCACAGTGATCAAAGGCTTCACTAAACTCAATATACTATACATTTTTGTTAACAGTACACTATTGGTACTAAAGCGACAATACCATTGTAAGTGATCACCTGAGGATACAAAACTAGTCACCTGAGGATACAGAACTAGTCACCTGAGGATACAGAACTAGTCACCTGAGGATACAGAACTAGTCACCTGAGGATACAGAACCAGTCACCTGAGGATACAGAACTAGTTACCTGAGGATACAGAACTAGTCACCTGAGGATGCAGAACTAGTCACCTGAGGATACAGAACTAGTCACCTGAGGATGCAGAACTAGTCACCTGAGGATACAGAACTAGTCACCTGAGGATGCAGAACTAGTCACCTGAGGATGCAGATACAACTCTCTTATTTCCCGTCTTCACTTTATTATAACACAAAACCTTGAAGGATATCACATAGCATCAAGGAAGGAACCACAGCTCTAGCGTGGTCTCCTGGCTTGCCCCACAGCGTAATTCAAGTATTAGAAACACATAAACCACCTGGCTTATCACAAAGCATTACTGGAACCAGCAAAACAACAACGACACCAAGCTTGATCTATGAGAACACACAATAGCATCTGCCTTTAATGAGTATCCTTGAAGAGAGACCTTAAAGTGGATGCTAGCCTTTTTTTTTTCTTCCTTATCTAACTTTCGTTTCGTTTTCTTGCACCCAGAAAGGTCTCATTCGATCAGCATTAAAATTCCAGCGCCTGTGTACGGTAACTAGGGCTAAACTCTTGGAACAGTTGTCGTGCACAGGTGCCCTATGACACCAGCTAGCGAGGAGGTGGGGTGAAAAGGTAACAGGGAGGTGGGGTGAAAGGGTAACAGGGAGGTGGGGTGAAAGGGTGAGTAACAGAGAGGTGGGTAACAGGTATGTGGGGGAAGGGTTGGTAACAGGGAGGTGGGGTGGAAGGGTGGGTAACAAGGAGGTGGGGTGGAAGGTTGGGTAACAAGGAGGTGGGGTGGAAGGGTGGGTAGCAGGGAGGTGAGGGAGGGGTGGGTAACAGGGAGGTGGGGTGGAAGGGTGGGTAACAGGGAGGTGGGGTGGAAGGGTGGGTAACAGGGAGGTGGGGGAGGAAGGGTGGGTAACATGGAAGTGGGGTGGAAGGGTGGGTAACATGGAGGTAGGGTGGAAGGGTAGGTATCAGGGAAGTGGGGGTGGAAGGGTAGGTAACAGGGAAGTGGGGGTGGAAGGGTAGGTAACAGGGAAGTGGGGGTGGAAGGGTAGGTAACAGGGAGGTGGGGTGGAAGGGTAGGTAACAGGGAGGTGGGGTGGAAGGGTAGGTAACAGGGAGGTGGGGTGGAAGGGTAGGTAACAGGGAGGTGGGGTGGAAGGGTAGGTAACAGGGAGGTGGGGGTGGAAGGGTAGGTAACAGGAAAGTGGGGTGGAAGGGTAGGTAACAGGGAGGTGGGGTGGAAGGGTAGGTAACAGGGAGGTGGGGTGGAAGGGTAGGTAACAGGAAAGTGGGGTGGAAGGGTAGGTAACAGGGAGGTGGGGTGGAAGGGTAGGTAACAGGGAGGTGGGGTGGAAGGGTAGGTAACAGGGACGAGGGGTGGAAGGGTGGTAACAGGAAAGTGGGGTGTGCAGTGGTCAGGTGAAATGACCCTGTAAAATGCCTCCATTAAAAAACCATTGCGCTACATATATTAAGAGAAAACTAAATAGTATAAAGGATCTAAATGTTTATCACACTTATATATCCAAGGAAAACTTGGAAGACTGCTCTCAAAATCACTACTCTTCAACCTGTGAGTACAAGCAACCTGACTGTCAATGCAATTAATCATGAGACCTGGTCTATTGAGACGATCTCATGAAACATCGAAATGAAGCAACAGGCGATCAGGTGAGCAAGAAAGCCTTTGATTATATTTTAAATAAATCCTTTCGGATTTCATACATGTTTTCACACATGCTGTACTTTTCTTGACCAGGTTTCAAGCAAGAGCAAGTTGCCAGTCAGAGTAGATCATAATAATGGATCTGGAATCACAACACACCACTGAACCAGTTTGGTTTATAAAAGCCAGTGAGGATATGATAAAACTTTCGAAATTATCTAGTCATATTATAAACACAATGCTTCCTCATTGAAAACTTTGGACTAATGAGTTGTAAGTTTAGTAAAAGAGTCACTTTTTCAATAGTACTTTAATTTAGTGACGTCTAGGTTTAAACAAAACAAATGCATTTACTTACCTTTGCACTCGTGCATATGTTATTGGCTTCATCTCAATTCCTTCCTGGATCTTGTCGCTTAAACCCATCCAGTCTCCTATGGGTACTCTTGGCATTTCCAGATTTTTAGCTTTCTCCCACTCACACTCCAGCCACTCACTTCCCCAGTCTTTGGATTTCTTTAATAAATCCCCTATATCGTTATCTCTGAGCCACTCAGTCGTCAAGGTTTTAGATTTTATCCATTCAAGAGATTTCCAGTTGTTTAATTTCCAACTTTCAGCTTTCCAACATCGTTCGCTCCAAGCTGTAAGCTTAGAATTCACTTGCGATAACTGAGGCCTACTGGTCAGTTGAGTCAGGAATGAGACGCCTGGTTCCTGGGATACATAAGGGACACTTGACTCTTGAGACACATACGTTACACTTGCCTGCTGGGACTCATGGATAATACAGGGCCGCTGGGACGCTTGGATACAACTTGGCGGCAACACACGCTGGCTACTGAGCTGGAGGCACTGTTGAAAGTTACTGGACTGTTGGGACTCGTGAAGGCTATCGAGCTGCTGTGGCTCTTTAAGGTTACAGGGCTGCTGGGACTTGTGTAGACTGCAAGGCTGCCGCAGCTCTTGAAGACTGCTCTTCGGGTGAAGCTCGGGAAGGTTACTGGACTCCTGAAACCCGCTAGGATCGCTTGTCTGCGGGGATCCTTGCCTACTAATAGACTGATGCCACTTGAGAAATGTCTCCTTAATGTTGTAATACGATGTAGTATCAGTATTATGGTATGTTTTCTGTGTCTGAGCAGAGTAATGCCAACAGACTTCGATGTTTTTGGAGTTACGGTTTTTGACATTGTGGGTATTGTTGTTCTGGCGTGCCAGTCGCTCCTGCCGTCTTGTCCTCGTCTGCAGGTACAGAGCAGCGGTAGCACTCTGGGCTAACATTACTTTCCTCCTCCCAGCATTTGCCACGAGGTTCTCACTCTCTCAGAATGATCTCTCTCATTCTTGCACACTCCACCATGAAGTCGAAAGCTTCTTCGCGGGGAGTAACCACTTTAAATACATTTTACCTCAGAAATCCTATAATCCACAATTAGCTTTTTATACATTTGTAAGCACTGTTTACTATGACGTCTTCCTATTTAATTCCATGATTTTGAAAAGGGGTGAATGGTGGCATTCTGCTTGCCTTACTCCTGTACACGAGCGTCCCTTGCTGTAAGGACGTACATTAGCGGCCTCTGGTGTCCACGGGATCATAATCACCTTGGATTGTCCTGCCTCACTTACTCAGCCTCATAACTCTCTACTTTCCCTAATATGTATTTTTTTATATAAAGGCGATAAACGTTAACACTTCTTATATCTTAGCCGCAAAATAATTTTCAATATACGTCTATCAAAGCTGGATTAAAGAAGAATCGCATAGATTGTCTCACTGGTATAAATCAGATGCTGACCAATAATTATTAAAGAGGTACACTTTCACTGACCACACTACCGGTGAGCTTGGCCCAGAGCACCTAGTTAGCTGGGCAGCTGTAACACCTCACCCTTACGCCGCACTCCAACATACTAACACATAATTTATTACACTTCGTCACGATGCACCACCCTATCATACAGACACATACAACTAGTTAAAGACCTAGTACACACATACATACACACACACAACACACACACACACACACACACACACACACACACACACACACACACACACACACACACACAATACACACCTTCGCCACCACCATCCTAATATACTGACACACATTCTCACCCTCAAATATACTTAAGTACATTGTATAACGATATACTTTTAATATATCAACTTACATGGTTAGGTCAACACATGCACTTGACAATTTTATTTTCATTTGATGGTGTTTCAAGGTTTGTCTACCTGAGAGAAGTCTGCCCCCCGCCGGGTCCTACATAATTCCCTCAGTCATACAGACAACTCACAAGACAGAGCATTAGATCTCATAAGATGAGGATCATGCAGTGTGTTCATACACTAAGCACGTCTCGGAGGGTGACTGCCTCATTTATCGACGTAATATTCTTGATCATGAAAAACAATTCGCTTTAGTGAGGCCCGACGTGTTTTTTTTTTGTTATGAAGTCAGTGTGGCGCCAGTTGCCTGGCTGGAGCTGGTTTGTCTCACATCCTTGGATGGGGGAGGGAAGATGTGTTGGGTGGTGTGTTCAAGGAGGGGGAGGGTCTGTGATGTGTCGTGTGTCACATCTTTGGATGCGGATAGGGAAGAAAGCTGTGTAGGGCGGTGTATTTAGGAGTTTGTGGGTGTACGTACGCACGCACACCCCTGCAACTACATAGAGACGTACACACACATACATACTGTACATACATAAAAACAGTACAAATACAAATACAATGATTTTAAAAACCTCACACGGGAGCCTGCACCTGGACTGACTTGTCTTACCTACTTATTCTCGTTCCTCGCGAATACCATAAATATCATCCACACCACTCAACACTACACTCAACACTACACTCAACACTACACTCAACACCACACTCAACACTACACTCAACACTACACTCAACACTACACTCAACACTTCACTCAACACTACACTCAACACCACACTCAGCAACACTACACTCAACACTACACTCAACACTTCACTCAACACTTCACTCAACACTACACTCAGCAACACTACACTCAGCAACACTACACTCAGCAACACTACACTCAGCAACACTACACTCAGCAACACTACACTCAGAAACACTACACTCAGAAACACTACACTCAACAGTATTGTGATCGCTAACACCTGTTATCTTTCATTTACCTATTACCTGTCTCGATAGTTTGCCAGCCCTCCCTGTTGATTGTCTGGTCAACCAGTCTGTTGCTTGACGGCCCACATATCCATCACAGCCTGGTTGATCTGGCACACCGAGGAAGTAGTGATCATGTTTCCCTCATCACCATCGCTACACTTTCATAATTTAATCAATCAAATTCAACGTCGATAATCTAAATTACTTAAATTTCCACTACAGACGCAATAATCCACAGTGAACCAGCGTTCTTAACACTCATTATCCTCAGAAACACACCATATACTTGTTTAACTGACAGTATTTCGTTAATCTAGTGAAGACTGAGAGGAGGAGGAGGCGTAAACCCCAACTTCACAAAGTCAGTGCGCTACTGACCGACTCTATACCATAACAAACTCGAGGACATAAAACTGACTAACTGGGACCCCTTCCGGTGGAGCAGCAAAACTGTGACCTCCCCTCCTGTGGAACAACACTGACTGGGACCCTCATCCTGTGGAACAACACTGACTGGGACTCTCATCCTGTGGAACACTGACTGGGACCCTCATCCTGTGGAACAACACTGACTGGGACCCTCATCCTGTGGAACAACACTGACTGGAACCCTCATCCTGTAGAACAACACTGACTGGGACCCTCATCCTGTGGAACAACACTGACTGGAACCCTCATCCTGTAGAACAACACTGACTGGGACCCTCATCCTGTGGAACAACACTGACTGGGACCCTCATCCTGTGGAACAACACTGACTGGGACTCTCATCCTGTGGAACACTGACTGGGACCCTCATCCTGTGGAACAACACTGACTGGGACCCTCATCCTGTGGAACAACACTGACTGGAACCCTCATCCTGTAGAACAACACTGACTGGGACCCTCATCCTGTGGAACAACACTGACTGGAACCCTCATCCTGTAGAACAACACTGACTGGGACCCTCATCCTGTGGAACAACACTGACTGGGACTCTCATCCTGTGGAACAACACTGACTGGGACCCGCATCTTGTGGAACAACACTGACTGGGGCCCTCATCCTGTGGAACAACACTGACTGGAACCCTCATCCTGTAGAACAACACTGACTGGGACCCGCATCTTGTGGAACAACACTGACTGGGACCCTCATCCTGTGGAACAACACTGACTGGGACTCTCATCTTTTGGAGCAACAATGACTGGGACCCTCATCCTGTGGAACAACACTGCCTGGGACCCTCATCTTGTAGAACAACAACACTGACCGGGACCCCTCATCCCATAATACAAAAACACTGACTGGGACCCTCAGCTAGTGGGACAACACCGGGCCCCCTCATCCTGTGGAAGAACACTGACTTGGATCGTCAGGCTGTGGAAGAGCGACGCTGACTGGGACTCTTATCCTGTAGGACAGCAAAACTGACGAGGGCCCCCATCCTGAAGAACAGCAAAACTGGGACCCCCATTCTGTGGAACAGCAAAACTGGGACCTCCATCCTCGACAGTGAAAAACAAACTGTCTCGTCCATATTTATTTTTAAATAGTAACATAAAGAAATTGATATATAATATATTATATAATATATTTTCAGCATATATATATATATATATATATATATAATATATATATATTATATATATATATATATATATATATATATATATTATATATATATATATATATATGCTTAACAATTCGCAAAGAGGCGAAATTATTTACAAACATTGCCTCTACGTTCAAAGCAGAACTCGAACCTGCTAACTCTGTATCAAAGTCCACAGTACTTTACCACTGAGCTAGACCCAAGATAAATATGGGCGCTTAGCCGAAGCTAAGTGATGTTACCCCATACCCCCGGGCACCAAGCTCGTTTTAAAAGTTTTTTCATCGAATCCTGCCACTTGCTTCGGCTAAGCGCTCATACTTATGTTGGGTCTAGCTCAGTGGTAAAGTACTGTGGACTCTGATACAGAGTTAACAGGTTCGAGTCCTGCTGTGGACGTAGAGACAATGTTTATATATATATATATATATATATATATATATATATATATATATATATATATATATATATATATATATATATATATATATATATATATAGTACGTAAGACACAGAGGCAACATTTATATATATATTATTGTGACCACGAACGAGTGGTATTGATCAATAACATTACACCACTAGCCAAGGACTCGAAACCATGCTGCTTTGGCCTGCCTCATGGTGGGCGAAAACTCGCTACCTCGCTATCCTCATATCAGACATAAACAGAGATATACACCACAGCACCGTATCATCCTTTGCGGATGATACTAGGATCTGCATGAGGCTGTCATCTGCTGAGGACGCGGTTAACCTCCAAGAAGATATAAACAAAGTTTTCCAGTGGGCAACGGTAAACAATATGATGTTCAATGAGGACAAATTCCAACTACTCCGTTATGGAAAACTGGAGGAGATAATAACTAGAACAGAGTATACTACTGACTCCGGCCATACAATAGAGCGGAAAAATAATGTAAGGGACCTGGGAGTAGTAATGTCTGAGGATCTCACTTTCAAGGATCACAACAGTGCCACGATCGCACGTGCAAAGAAAATGATAGGATGGATAATGAGAACTTTCAAAACGAGAGATGCCAAGCCCATGATGATCCTTTTCAAATCACTTGTTCTCTCTAGGCTGGAATACTGCTGTACATTAACATCTCCATACAAAGCAGGTGAAATCCCAGATCTAGAGAGTGTACAGAGATCCTTTACTGCACGTATAAGTTCTGTCAAGCACCTTAACTACTGGGAACGCTTGGAAGCACTTGACTTGTACTCGTTGGAACGCAGGAGGGAGAGATATATCATAATCTACACTTGGAAAATCTTGGAAGGAATGGTCCCAAATCTGCACACAGAAATCACTCCCTACGAAAGTAAAAGACTGGGCAGACGATGCAAAATGCCCCCAATTAAAAGTAGGGGCTCCATTGGTACACTAAGGGAACACACCATAAGTGTCCGGGGCCCTAGACTGTTCAACAGCCTCCCATCAAGCATTAGGGGAATTGCCAATAAACCCCTGGCTGCCTTCAAGAGAGAGCTGGACAGATACCTAAAGTCAGTGCCGGATCAGCCGGGCTGCGGCTCGTACGTTGGACTGCGTGCGGCCAGCAGTAACAGCCTTGTTGATCAGGCCCTGATCCATCGGGAGGCCTGGTCATGGACCGGGTCGCGGGGGCGTTGATCCCCGGAATAACCTCCAGGTAACCTCCAGGTAACCAGGTTACGAGCCACAGCCCGGCTGATCCGGCACCGACTTTAGGTATCTGTCCAGCTCTCTCTTGAAGGCAGCCAGGGGTTTATTGGCAATTCCCCTAATGCTTGATGGGAGGCTGTTGAACAGTCTAGGGCCCCGGACACTTATGGTGTGTTCCCTTAGTGTACCAATGGAGCCCCTACTTTTAATTGGGGGCATTTTGCATCGTCTGCCCAGTCTTTTACTTTCGTAGGGAGTGATTTCTGTGTGCAGATTTGGGACCATTCCTTCCAGGATCTTCCAAGTGTAGATTATGATATATCTCTCCCTCCTGCATTCCAAACGAGTACAAGTCAAGTGCTTCCAAGCGTTCCCAGTAGTTAAGGTGCTTGACAGAACTTATACGTGCAGTAAAGGATCTCTGTACACTCTCTAGATCTGCAATTTCACCTGCTTTGAATGGAGATGTTAATGTACAGCAGTATCCCAGCCTAGAGAGAACAAGTGATTTGAAAAGGATCATCATTGGCTTGGCATCTCTCGTTTTGAATGTTCTCATTATCCATCCTATTATTTTCTTTGCACGTGCGATCGTGGCACTCTTGTGATCCTTGAAAGTGAGATCCTCAGACATTACTACTCCCAGGTCCCTTACATTATTTTTCCGCTCTATTGTATTGTATTGTATGGCTCTATTGTATGGTCACAATAATATAAAATACTGCTCGTTGAACTAGTACACCAAACAGGGACTAGAATGAAATTAGCCTAGAGTCATCCACACCATCGTGTGTCCTTGGGTAGGGAGTACGACATCCAGTTCCGCTGGATGCCCTGCTTGTAAGGATCGTATGGTCCAGTGGATTAGGGCGTCATGCGTTTTCGCCCGCCATGAGGCAGGCCAAAGTAGCATGGGTTCGAGTCCTTGGCTAGTGCAACGTTCACATTGCCTTACCCACTCTCTGACCGCGGGTTCAATCCCGGCCGGGGTATGGTTTGGTCTGCTTGTGGAGGCTGGTATTCAAACGGGAGGTAGTTGAAATTAGCCTTGATCTTGTCACTAGCACGAGTGTCCTCGGATCACGAGCAACGCCTAGCGCAGCTGGGTGCTTGATCTTTGAAGGATCGCTGGTCAGGTGAGTAAGGCAATGTGAACGTTGCTGTCTCTTGAGGTTGTTTATATAGATGTGGCAGAATCTAATCTCGGCGGCTGGCCGCTGTTTGGTAATTGTTTCAATATCACTTGTTTCGTGCTTTCATTACACAATATATATATTTTTTATTTATTTTTATTATCACACTGGCCGATTCCCACCAAGGCAGGGTGGCCCGAAAAAGAAAAACTTTCACCATCATTCACTCCATCACTGTCTTGCCAGAAGGGTGCTATACACTACAGTTTTTAAACTGCAACATTAACACCCCTCCTTCAGAGTGCAGGCACTGTACTTCCCATCTCCAGGACTCAAGTCCGGCCTGCCGGTTTCCCTGAATCCCTTCATAAATGTTACTTTGCTCACACTCCAACAGCACGTCAAGTATTAAAAACCATTTGTCTCCATTCACTCCTATCAAACACGCTCACGCATGCCTGCTGGAAGTCCAAGCCCCTCGCACACAAAACCTCCTTTACCCCCTCCCTCCAACCCTTCCTAGGCCGACCCCTACCCCGCCTTCCTTCCACTACAGACTGATACACTCTTGAAGTCATTCTGTTTCGCTCCATTCTCTCTACATGTCCGAACCACCTCAACAACCCTTCCTCAGCCCTCTGGACAACAGTTTTGGTAATCCCGCACCTCCTCCTAACTTCCAAACTACGAATTCTCTGCATTATATTCACACCACACATTGCCCTCAGACATGACATCTCCACTGCCTCCAGCCTTCTCCTCGCTGCAACATTCATCACCCACGCTTCACACCCATATAAGAGCGTTGGTAAAACTATACTCTCATATATATATATATATATATATATATATATATATATATATATATATATATATATATATATATATATATATATATATATATATATATATATATATATATATATATTCCGATCACAAACTGAGGCCCTCTTCAGATCCACCAAATTACAGTATATACTACAATTTCTGTGGCAAT